CGCCGCCTGCCCGCCCGCCGCGCTTCCTGCCGCGCGCCCCCGCCCCTCCCGCCTTTACCTCATTCCCGCAGCCCGCGCCGCCGCTGCCGCAAGGCACGATGGGAAACACCCACTTTCCCTCAGCTCCCGCCCCGCCCCCGGCGTGCCGCGGCCGCCGGGTCTGGCACCGAGACAGCGACGGCACCGCCACCGGCCCCGGTCCGCGCCGCCGGGAACCGTCACAGGCCCGCCCTGCCCCCGGCGAAGCCTTTTTTGTTGTCGTTGTCGCCGCCTTGTCCCGAGGCCCTTCCCATCAGCCCTCGCGGCATGGCGGCGGCCGCCCCGCGTCCCGACCCAAGATGGCGGCCACGTGCGTGACGGATGGGGGGCAGTGTTATAACCGCTGATATCGTTATTTTTAAGCGACGCAGCTGACCCTGCACGCGAGGAACGGTAGCGGTGAGGGGCAGGCATTGAAAAATACATATATCGTTTCTCTCTTTCCCCCCATCCTTTTGCAGCGGGCTGTCGGGGGCGCCAGGCGCGCCCGGGGTTGACCTGGTGTCCGGGCTGAGGGGAGGCTGGCGGGAGCATGGCGGAGGAAAGCGATCCCTGCGGGCCGGGCCTGGCGGCTCCTGTGCCGGAGGCTGAGGATGGAGCTGAAGCGGGGAGCAAGGCCAATGGAGGCGGGGGCGGCCCCACGGCCTCCCCCGACGTGTACAGATACATTAAGGGAGACTTGTTTACCTCTGAGATCTATAAAGTAGAAATACAAAACCTTCCCAAATACATCGGGTTTAACGATGTGAAAAAGTTCCTTGCCAAATACGGACTCAACCCTCATAAGATAAAACTTTTTGGGAAGCAGACGTTTGCGTTTGTGACATTTAAGAGTGAGGAGGAGAGGGACAAGGCCATGAAAGTCCTCCATGGGGTTTTGTGGAAGAGCCGGCACCTGAGCGTGAGGCTCGCCAAGCCGAAGGCTGACCCCATTGCAAAAAAAAGGAAAAAAGAAGAGGAGTCGGAGCAGGGAGAGGCAAAGCGGCCGGCTCCCTCCAACGCCAGCGGAGAGGAGCCTCTGAGCAAGCAAATCGCAGACGTGGTGACCCCGCTGTGGAACGTGCCCTACGAAGAGCAGCTGGCCCAAAAGAAGCAGGAATGTGAGCAAGTGCTGCAGAAGCTGACAAAGTAATGCCTGTTCATAAAGCTACTGTAAAGTTTACGAAACTTGACTGTATGTTGGGTTATAGGTAAATTTGCACAAATTGCTATCTGTAAAATAAAGTAAGTTAGAGGTAGGTCAAAAACCAAATCCCCCAACAGAGTAAATAAAAGATAATTTGCAATGCTAGGACCTAAAAACTGTTCCAGCTGACAAAACTTGCCGTTGCTGTTCTCAGTCAGACTCAAAAGATTGCTAAATGAGGGGCATGGTGTTAAGGTCTGTTGTTCCACAGCCTAAGCAGAAGGATATTAGTGCCCTTGAAGTTAAAAAAAAAAAAGCCACTGTCAAATGGCATCTCAATCTGTAGAGATGGTAAGCTACTATTAGGATTTTTTCTTTAAAAATCACCTCAATTTTTTATGGCTGGTTTTTGTACATCAAAGTACCAATTCTATCTCTTGCCTGACTCACTTAGGTAGGTAAAATTGGCATTCTTTTCACTCATAGGTACATTGATAAATATAGTGCATACCTTTGTATATACATTTAACTCTTATTTTTTCAGGTTAAAGCTCTTATAAAGTTGGAGGGGGTTTGCCTGTTAAAAAATTCTTCTGGAAGAAATATTCTTCATCTGATAATCTGATACTTTTTTACGTCCTATACCAAAAAAAGAAAAAGAAAAAAAATGCCTTGTGCAGCTGTTAACCTCTTGTTAGTTAAGAGCAGTTAAGTTTTTCTGACTGTGTACTTGACAATTTTTGTTTCTGATTTGGGCAGGGAAATAGGAAACAACAATAGAGCCTTATTACCTTGGTTGTTCCTGCAGAAGCAGAAATACAATAAATTGTGTTGCCCGGTAGAGGGAGTGAAAGCATCACCGTTACAGGTAACGTAATCCTAGGTAAAGTATGGAATGGGGTTAATGAGCTCAGAGTTAAATTAGTTACTTAGTGTTAAACAACACTGGACAAACCGAGTATTCAACAACTTCTTGTAATGAATGATGAATTTTAGACATCGTTGCCTTTCATGTAAATATTGTGTGGAAATATTTACAGGAAGCAGAATAATAGTTAAATTAACTGGATATACTAACTTTAATATGCTGTCCCTGCAAGCTTGTTTTGTCAGCTAATACAAATACTCTTCAACAGAGGCAATATTTTGTTCTTTAACTAACAAGACTTACTAATACTTTTTCATTATTGCTGTTTGTTCTCATGCATCAAAATCCATGAGTATCTTCCATATGAACTAAATGTCCTGTGTCTGTTTGCAAGTACATTTAACCATGTGAGGGTTGTTTCAGGAGAAACTTGGCATGTACAAATAAGTGCTATGTAAATATCTTACATAACTTTATTTTAAATCTAGACTGAATATCGCAACAAATGTGAGTTCTTGATTGGGATTGGTGTAAATCAAGAAGACAAAACTGTGGGTTGTCGTCTTGGCAAATATAAGGGTGGTACATGTGCTGTAGTGGAGCCATTTGATACTATTCACATTCCTGCTATTGCCAAAAAAGTAGTAAAAGCTTTCCAAGACTACATAAGGTGAGCACAAGTAAAATGAGTTATCCGTAAAGGTTTTGCTATCTTACTCAAAAATATTTATAAAATTATATATTATGAAAAGCTTAGTGTTTGTTCTGAGCTTTAAGACCTACCAAATACTGGTCTCGATTTTCTACCATTCTTTGACGTTTACGTCTCGTGCCTGGATCACTGGGTATTTTGCTCTTGCTCTTGCTCAGCTTTCTGAGGTGGAGGGACAGATACCAGCCAAACACAGCTTTGTTGCAAGCAGTGGGATGTAGAAGTCTACAATAAAAAGTGTCTGTTACTTGAGAGCTGCTTCCACTAACTGTAAAGAATACTCAGAAAAAGGCTTTTTTAAAGAGGAATTTGAATAACAAAGTTCATTTGCTTCCTTGGATGGGGAGAATAATCATCCTACAACAGGGGAAAAAAACAGAAGTTGTAAATTTAAACAACAATACTTTTTAGTAAATGGAGTGGTTTCTTTAAAAAGCGATTAAATCCTCAAAAATGGAAACCTCGGAAGGATCATGAAGATGGAAAGTTTGAACTTGGTATGAAGTACAGAAGCCAATGAAGGCATTATAAAAAGTTGTGTCATTCTCTGAATGCAGTGAGAAGCTGCCTCTATCCTATCTGTAATTTTGGATGGGTTAAAAAGGTGAGAAGTAGGGACAGATTAGTTTGCACTAGGAGATAGAGTCTGATCTATTCATCACTTTCTTTTTGTCTTTTTTCTTAATTAAGATATTGAAGTCATTCTTTTCTTGACAAATCAATGTAGCCTCTGTTTGTATTTAACATTTTTCATCACTTTGCATGATGAGCTGCTTTTGTTGCAATAAACTATTGAATGTTACGCAAAGCGTAGTTCTGTGTTAAGTAACTGAGTAGCAGTGGGATGTAGAAGTCTACAATAAAAAGTGCCTGTTACTTGAGAGCTGCTTCCACTAACTGTAAAGAATACTCAGAAAAAGGCTTTTTTAAAGAGGAATTTGAATAACAAAGTTCATTTGCTTCCTTGGATGGGGAGAAAAAACCAGAAGTTGTAAATTTAAACAACAGTACTTTTTAGTAAATGGAGTGGTTTCTTTAAAAAGCGATTAAATCCTCAAAAATGGAAACCTCGGAAGGATCATGAAGATGGAAAGTTTGAACTTGGTATGAAGCACAGAAGCCAATGACTTTATAAAAAGTTGTGTCATTCTCTGAATGCAGTGAGAAGCTGCCTCTATACTATCTGTAATTTTGGATGGGTTAAAAAGGTGAGAAGTAGGGACAGATTAGTTTGCACTAGGAGCAGTGAGAAGCTGCCTCTATCCTATCTGTAATTTTGGATGGGTTAAAAAGGTGAGAAGTAGGGACAGATTAGTTTGCACTAGGAGATAAAATCTGATCTATTTATCACTCTCTTTTTATCTTTTTTCTTAATTAAAATATTGAAGTCATTCTTTTCTTGACAAATCAATGTAGCCTCTGTTTGTATTTAACATTTTTCATCACTTTGCATGATGAGCTGCTTTTGTTGCAATAAACTATTGAATGTTACGCAAAGCGTAGTTCTGTGTTATGTAACTGAGTTTCTGGAAATTGCAGGTCCACTCCTTACTCCGTTTACAGCCCAGAAACCTACGAAGGGCACTGGAAACAGCTCACAGTCCGTACCAGCAGGAGTGGCCACATTATGGCAATTGCTTATTTTAATCCTCAGGTATTTAAATTGGTCTATAATGTGCAGCACAGCATGCAAAAGAAAGATAGAATAGTTAGTTGGTGTAGTTTACCTTGTGTTACTACTCTTTAGTCTGATCGATGCAAACGGTGTGCAGCACAGACACACAGCTTTAAAATTAGATAAATTTGATTTTATGAATAGCGCATGCAAAAGAGAGATAGAATAGTTAGTTGGTGTAGTTTACCTTGTGTTACTACTCTTTAGTCTGATCGATGCAAACAAAAAAGTAATTAATGTGCTTATAGAAGGCATGTGCTAAATCATATCTTTAAGTCACTAAGATGATTATTCTCCCTTCTTTCAAATAAAACCTTTAGAAATTAAGTAAAGAAGATCTGGCTGACCTGAAAATCTCTCTGGCAAAATACTTCACAGAAGGGATGGGCAAGAGCAGTGGCGTTACTTCCCTCTACTTTGTGGAGGAAGGACAGAGGTGAGGGAGTTGACTTTGCTTTGGGGGACTTTGCAGGTGGCTGGATTTTTGGTGTTTACAGCAGAAAAGTAGGTAGCGCTACCACACCATAATTTTATCTATTTCATAAAAACAGCAGCAGGGTTCCTAATTTGTTGAACAGTTATTTACCTTTTCTGCAATCTTAAAGAGTCTCCTGAAATTTCCCATTCTCCTGTAGGATTCACTGGGCAAAGACAGGAGTTTCAGTGGGTGACTGCACTACTAGTTGCTGGCTGTCAAGCTGTAGAAGCGCTTACAGCAGTAGATGGATATTTATTATTATAAACAAGTAACTTCTGCCTCCTTTTTTTGATCTCCCCATCCTCTTCCACAGAGCACAAAGCTCACACCGTCTTCATCTAGGGACAATATTGGTCCTACTGGTTCCATCAGTGGAACAGTTGTACCCTGTAAGAAAACCATGGCCAAGATGATAGTCCCTAAAAGGATCCGATAACTGTTGGCCACTATAAATTACTGCTCAGTCTCTAGTACTACAATTTTCAAGATAACTACATTTTTGGTAAAAACTGTAACAAACACGTTGGTCTTCTTTCTTTTTTTTTCCTCTTTATTTTGCCTTCCCGTGCCTTGTCCCTTTTCCTCCCCAGGAAATCTCCCAATCTGGAAGACTTGCCTTTGGAGCACGTGGCTGGCGATAAGTACATATACGAAGAACTTCTTGGCCTAAAATTT